GGGCACCAGCGACCCCCGTGACCCAAAATGGAATAAGCGGGTAAAGATAATGGATGGATGTTCTAGTTTCTACTCATATACCATCCATATGAGCCAACGGTGCCAAAAGAGGCACACACAAAAAAGCATTTTTAAATGGGTGGTTCATGGTTATTATTGTTTGGTATGAAAGAGTAAGCGTGATAGATTTTGTCATAATAGAGTATCGGACAATCAACAAAAAGCTTTGTTTTCTTTTTCTATAAACACATCTCTTCAGAAAGCATCCATCCATCCATGTCCAGCCATCACTGTGCGAGAGGTGGGGGACACCCTGGACAGGTTTCCAGTCCATCCCAGGGACACATAGAGACAAAGGAGACAAACAACCATTCACTCTCTCACTCACACCTAGGGACAATTTAGAGTTACCAGTCAGCCTAACATGCATGTTTTTGGTCTGTGGAATTGGACCCTGGAAATCATTGACCCAGGAACTGACAGCTCTTGAGGAATGACATGTTACTGCTTTGCAGACCATGTCACTATCCTCATTTTTACCAAACGTTATTGATGAAGTGTGATTTTAAGGTCACGTTTAGTGTTCCTGAGCTGCTTTGCAATGTGAACTGGGGTTAGTTTATGTGTTTGTGGCATGAGGCACATGAGATGTATCATCAATGTTCATGCTCAACAATCCAGGTAAAAAAAATTCCAACAATTTTTCAAAAAAAGGAACTGTCCAGATGACCTGACTGAACATTGCTGGACTTCTTTACCTGGATTGTTGAGCATGAATTTTGATGTCTTGAACCACTTTGGCTGTGGTTGCCTGGGAAGAGTCGACGGGGGAGAGGACAACTCCCAGAAACCATCATCACCAGCAAACTGGTTGGTCCACTGTAGAAGTTTACTGCTTGGTGGGGAAAACAGTTTGTATGTGACTCCTCAGATTGATGAAGCCCTTCGGATAGAGGGTGAAACATATCTGAACAAAAAAAGGAACTGTCCAGATGACCTGACTGAACATTGTTGTACACATGAGATGTACTTTGATGCCATCTGGTACAAGAGAGCATCTACAGAATTGAAAAGATGAAAGGCTCTTTCAGTTTATACACTTTATGATCTCAAGTGCTAACTTTATTTTGTCTATCAGATGTAATTTCACACACACAGTCTGAGAAGGAGAAAGTTTGGTCTCTTTTAGGTCGAGGGTTTATGAGGGCATAATAAAATAAATGTGATCTTTACCAAATTCTAAATTATTTTAACTTTACATTAAGTGTACAAAAACAAAATGAAAAAGATGTGCGAGAAAAACTCACATTTTATAGCAAATAATCGTCCTGCCTTAGTGAGCTGCAGTCATGACTCGTCATAAAATCCACGTAGAACTTGAATAGGCAAAAATGTACGTTCTCCCTTGTGTCTTCTGCAGGGATACATATTATAAAATTAAACTGCATATTTCACTTGTAGCTCGGCTCATCTCGAACATTTTTTGTTAAACATCTGTTTTAACTGCAACTATTTTTGTCATGTTCATAAAGCAGTTCGAGAGTTTAACCACTAGATGTCGCCCTGAGACCACTTTTTGTGCTCAGTGCAGAACTTTGTGCGTGCGCGTGCACTTGTAACCTGAAAAGTCTCTTGCAGCAACTGATCAACAGCTGCAGTTACAGCTGTTTCAGTGCTATATTGCCACTCATCGCTATCAGCTGCTGCACAGAAAGCACTTTTTGAGGCCTGTTCAGAGCAGGTGAGGGTAAATGCTCTGGATGTGAGCTGCTCTATGGCCACTCCAACTTTAGGCGCTCAGAGGAACAGAGTGAGGAACTGATACCAGCGCTGACACTAGCTTGCGGCTGTCAAACATTTGGCAACAACATAAGTTAACTCTAGGTGTAGCTCACTTTGTCTTTTCCAAGAACAATATCCAGGATTCCACGTTAAAAATATGAGCGTTTTCAGGGACAGAGGGAGGCCACACCTTCAGTCACACGGGGGCCTTTATCGAAGCAGTGCAGAGGTCAGCAGCTGCCTCAGTCAATGAGACACGGCTGATCTTGGTTCAGACGCTAAAGATACAGCAGAGGACACGTCCTTGTATTTACCACAGAGGTCAAACGTTGTCTTTGCAGCTCTGTAAATATCTGCTCAACCTGAAAGTTTGAAACCTCACCCCCCAAGCGCTTTCTCCCATGGAGGTTGAGTTGTTGTGACAATACGCGTGCTGTTTTGCTTTTAGGTTTGCACAGATGTGTCATATTCTTATGTCACTGAGGTTTTAAAGCACATAATCCTTCTTATATAAATGGCTTTTTTTTTTTTTACCCTGGATGGGACCTGGAGAGTGCATGAGATGAAGCTGCATCTAAATAAAACAGAAAGGCGGTGATGCATGTTGGCATGCAGCAACAACTTTCTGTGCTTCCATAATGGGGAGGGGGGCGTCACTACAGCATGGTTTCTGAGCGATGACACAGGATACGGACAATTGTAGTGATGAGTCATGCTTCGAGTTGTAAAATCCTTTAAAACATCGAGCCGTTTTATTTAACTAAACGGTTGACGATAAAAGTTCATGCATGTTCTTAAGATACAAAATCATTTCACAACATATTACTCTCACAGCGCTGCCGTTTCCTCTCCTAAATTATTGTACTTTTTCTTTAACACCTTAAAAAAGCAACTCGTGACAAGACTTTTCAAACGCAAAGCTTGTTTTATTTAAAAAAAAAATGTTTATTGACATCAGAAGCAATTTAAATTTTAACAATAAACAAGACGTTTCTTTTTTTTTCTTCTTAGTTTGTTTGTTTTGCTAATTTTTCTTTGTCCAAGATTACAGTGGTACATAAAGATCAGTAAAACGAGTGTGATACGTCAATTCTGATAACATGTCATCGGAAATAAAAACACACAGGTAAAGATAAAGAAAAAGAAAAGATACACTCAGATCTAACTTATAACGCTTTTATGTGCTGTGCACTGCTAGCTAAGGGAAATACTGTAAGCCCACCCCTTTATACTGTACCAGGCAGGATAGTGGTCTAAAACTACCACTGGGGGAAAAGAAATAAGACTGGCAGAAAGATACAGACACAATACTTGTGTAGTGTTAACTATACAAAAAGGAAAGAAAAAAACTGTACAGCATAAAAACAACCGATATACACAGCCTTAATGTTGGCATTCTTTTTTTGTTGGTTTTGTTTCCACCCCTCAGATACTAATGAATTTTCTTTCAGAAGTGAAGTGTGTACAAGGGGTTAAATGCTTTATAAACAAGGAGATGACCTCTATGTCCCTCACCATCTACTCATCATCATCCTCGTCGTCGTCTTCCTCTTCTTCATCCTCGTCTTCGTCGTCGTCGTCATCGTCTTCCTTCTTCTCCACCTTGGCGGGGGCCTTTGCTGGGGCCGCGCCTCCTGTTTTGCCCTTGGCGCGGTAAGCTGCGATGTCCTGTGACGGACAAACGAGAAGCCGTTGAACTGACTCTGTCGGAAAGTTTTCACTCGACCGTCGCGTCTAAAGTGCGGGGGGGGGGGGGTCGCGGTTGCTTTACCTTCTCGTACTTCTCCTTCAGCTTGGCCGCCTTCTTTTCGTAGGGCTGCTTGTCCTCTGCGGCGGTGGTGTTCCACATCTCGCCCAGCTTCTTGGCGACGTCTCCGATTGACAGACCAGGGCTCTCGCCTTTCACCTTGGGGCGGAACTCCGAGCAAAAGATGAAGAAAGCAGATCTGGAAAAAAAGTTGATTGATCCAAATTTAGAGAGAAGACGATCAGTAAAGAACTTTGTATGTGTCAGAAAGCTTCAACCTGTGGTGCTTACGGGGGTCTCTTGGGGGCATTGGGGTCCTTGTACTTCTTCTTCTTGCCTCCCCTGGCTGGAACATAGCTCATCATCTCCCTCTCGTAACGCGCCTTGTCCTGCCTGGCCAGGTCCTCAAATTTGCCCTTCTCCTTGGCAGACATGGTCTGAAAGCAGAGGTAAACCACTCGTCAACACACCCTTTGTACACAAGCTCCACAATCCTACTGTACATAAGAACTGTTAGCTGACCACTTCCCGTGTCTGACCTGTCTCAACAAACACATTTGAAGAACATGGGTCGTACACTACCTTCCATCGCTCGGAGCACTTCTTGGAGAACTCAGCAAAGTTCACCGAAGCATCAGGGTGTTTCTTCTTGTGTTCTTCCCGGCAGGTCTGAACAAAATACGCATAGGAGGACATCTTCCCCCTCGGCTTAGTTGGATCCTTTCCCATCTTGATGGCAGTATCTAAAAATAATAACAATGTATAAATATATATATACTTTAGATATAGATTAAGCGTGGACCTATTTTTCCATATTGTCTTTTTCCAAATTTGTGTATTCTACTTTTTTTTATTATTATTTTGCATGTCTTTTTTTCTGTATAATTAGAAATTATATAGGTTCTAAACATTAGAAATGTTTAGAACTTAATTGTTATTTTTAATATTCTGTTTTTTTTTTATTTATATCTTGTGATATTTTATATCTTAAATGCCATTGGATGCCTCAAATCCCCCCCTTGGATTAATAACGTATCCATCCATCTATTTGTTCCAATTTTAACTAGACAAGAGATCTCTGAAAATATTTTTAAGTCATAAATATGAATATTGTGAAAATGTTCTTGCCATATTTACTGTTATTTGGTAGCACTGTTGTGGTCACCCACCCTTCCTGATGTCAAAACTAAGTTTAGCCAAGAAAAAAAAACAAAAAACTGCCAACATAAATCTGATGCCATGAAAATGGCTTTATTTATGGATGCAACCTGTATTGCGACCCTTACATAAAACCCAATGGTCCATGCACTGCTCCCATTATAGTAACCTAAAACTGCCTAACCTCATCAAATCACATAAACAAAGAAAAAACTTGTAAAATGTGCTTTTATCGCTGCCACTTCATGGTCTATATAACTCCCAGCATAAGTTTTCCCAAAGTTCAGTGGAACGGACACCCTCCCACTCCCCATACATTATACTTCAAAACTGTGTTTTTTGTGAAAAATAAATAAAATGTCCACTTAACCTGTCAAAACAAACTAAACCAAATAAAAGCACACAAGTGTTTTTTATTGTTTAATGAAGAAACAAACTCCGACACAAAAAGACATTTTTTTCATCAAAAAGTCGTTTTATTGTGGATATAACAATTAAAAGTGCAACGTAGCGCGAGCAAACACTCCTCCTTGCACGCGCCTCTTTGTTTTCCGTTTATATTCATCTGCAAATAACTCTCTAAACGCGCTAAAAACCCTCTCCTGCCTGTGTCATTCCCCATAAGAAACGCTGCTGAGTCCCAGGCAAGCCGCATCGAGAGCAGTAGTAATAATGGCGCATAGGCTTCTCGTTGAGGAAAAGGAGGTCAACAACGACGGCAATATTTCTTCTTCCATTTTGTGAGAATGCCTTCTTCATGAAAGAAAGTCCCCCTCAAATGTCTCCTCGCGCCTCCCAGTTCGCTTTGCGACGCAGCAAACAAGTCCAGAAAGCCGGCGATCTTGGCAAAATATTTCCCCCGATTGATTCCTATTGCACTGGCCGCCTTGTATAGTAATACATTGGGTCTGTACTGAGTCTATGAGCGGGCTGCGCTGACTTGGTTTCTATGAGCGCCTAATGGCCGCTCGTCTTCATCCACTAACATGGAGAATATGGCTCCTTCTCTTTGTGTCAGCGCACAGCCATTGCAATAGAGGGCAGAGCGACCGCCGCGACTGCCTCGCTTCCGAGCCCGATTTGAACCCTTTAAACGTGTCGGAAAAATCTTTCCGCGGCGGCGTTCGAATCGCGAAAGACAGAGCTTTAATTTGCCGTCGTCACATCTTATAGTTGCGGGTTTGCTTTTCGAGAAAAGCCGGCTAGAAAAAGTTGAAGCGAACTGCGCCTCTGTCGCTGGCTTCCCATTGCCTCGCGCTGCCTTGTTTCCTATGCGAATACAGTCAGCCATTACAGTAAAGCGCAGATCGTGAGGTAATTTTTTAACTGTCTCGTCGGGTGATTTTTACTGAGATATTCACCGTATGTGCGTGTTTTGAGACGGTCTGTCTTTTTCTTCGGTTTTCGTGATTTTTTAAAGCTCCTATTCGGATCCGCACTCTTGGCCAGTCTTCACATGACAGGCGGTTCAGCTTCGCAATGCACTGCAACGGCTAGCTAACGGTGAGCCTTCTACCATTGTCGTTAACCGTGTTCGTCCGCTAGACATTTTCACGGTTTTTTTACGCGATAACGCCAAATTGTTTCAACTCCCAGTTCGTCCTAACAAGACGACTGTAATATATAAAATTATTCGTATTTAACGAAATGCGCAGTTTTCGTCGAATTTAATCGGGATTCCTTTTTATTTCTTCCTTTTTGATGTACTGAACGTCTAGGCAGAGAGTAATGTGATGTTACCGGTTATCTTTTTTTACACCCTTTTTATGAACCTCTCGCAACAATAAAATGATTAACTAGCACTTCTTTGTTTCATATTCGACCCTGACAAACGCATGACTAAGATATTTAGGGTTGTTACCGTCATTCTCGACGTTATAAACACTTAAAAATGTTCGTGTGTGATACTTACCAATTGACTATAGCTGAATCTCAATGCTCTGCAATGGCTGTGTATGAGAGCCCAGTCGATACGCAGTGTCTTCAGTCTTCAGCTCGCTCAACATTACTCTCGGCGGGGCTCGCACGCCATTGGCCAGCGCCTGGGCTGCCGTCGCTCTGATTGGTCGGAGGCTTTCCATTGTCCTAATAGAAGACGAAGGGCCATTGGCTGGCTTTTGTGAAACGTCACCGAAGTTTTTCGAGGCGCGTGGATACAAAAATATTTCTGCTCGAGCACGCTGGAGCTGCTAGTAGTGTAGTCTATTTGCCATAGTGTTGAATTCACTACGTTGAGCGCAGTGTACAGTAGCAGCAAGTTAAATGAATGAGACAACGTGCAGCGCGTCTCGTCAGTGAGCGGAGGAGGCTGTTAAACGTCCTGCCACCGTCTTCGACAGCTTGTGCCCCACGTCGACGACCGACCACACTGTATGTTCTCATCAGCACGCGCGACTTTATTAGCAAATTACAGCTTTGTAAATGCGTTTGAACAACATGACGCATTCACACGGAAACGACCCGAGGGTGGATTGCTCCACCTGAATGCGACAGTTGTGGACTAGAAAGACTGTTTTTAAAGGATTTTGACTCCTGAGATGACATCTGAACAGGATTCTTGGCGTGTTTCCATTGTAAATGCAGAATCCACGATTTTCGTTTTTACCTAATAATATAGGGATGCAAGAGAGTGGCTGTGCAAAACAGTATTTTCATATGCGCTCTGATAAAAAATTAGCAATTATTTTTGAGCTTTTGCTACTTTTTAACCAATTATTCAGCATTCAGGTTAGGTTAAACATACTTAATATTTCATATAGTTAATATTTGATTGAAAATGTTATTTTTACCTACATATTATGGCAGGGATTATAAAGTGACTGTTCAGGGGGGCCGTTTATAATTGGAATTGGGAGAAAATCTGTCACTATAGCCTAGCTGAACTTATTAGCATATTATATTTTTCCTTATGTCTTCATATGTATTTCCATCAACTGTTTTAAAGACCCAGAGCAGAGGTCTTCTGCATCAGTTTGTAAAAATAATGTCACTTAAATAGTCCTGACAGGCTCGTTTAAGGTTCTGCCAAGCAGTTCACTGTGTGTACAAGTAGCTGCACAGTTTGTGACGGCAACATTTTTTCTCCAATTATACATAGATGAGTAACTCGAGTGGAGGATTGTCTTCCAGTTTAAGAGTCGGAGGTTCGATCCCCAGCTGGTGTCCCTGGGCAAAACGCTGAACACCCTCACTGCCCATATGGTAAGTTCTCGAAAAGAGTGTGAAATATATGATGGAGACTGTGTGTGGGTTTGAATGGCTGAGTGAGAAACATTGTCAAGAACTTAGCAGAACCTCTTCTTCTTTCGACTTTTCCCTCTTCAGGGGTCGCCACAGCGAGTCATCCTCCTCCATCTCTGTCCTCTCCTACATCATGGTGGATCATTTGAATATGCAGCGATTTGGGGATGCGTCAAGTTTGTTCATGGACACGCGTAAAGAGGTCGGTGATCATATCACTGACTTTAAGGTTGGAGGACGACCACGTCGCTTCTGCTAAGTTAACCTTTAAATTCCACTTGTTCAACACTAAATTATAAATGTTCAAAAAGGACAAAAAAAGATTTACCTTTATTATAAGATCGATTAGATTTTCAAAGGAATTTTTTTTTGTCACAAAATTGTACGCTAGTCCAGATTTATTTATTCTTTACTAACAATTTGTTTTAGCATAAATAATTGCAAGCTCCCATGCAGACTGAATATCAAACAATATTTTTTCATTATAATTTCACATTTTATTGTTTAAACTGTGCCGCTTTGGCTCATATACCACAACGTAATGAAAAGGTGCTGAGGGATCATAAATTTGCATATTTATTTTTACTTTTGATCAACAGATGTTGAGAATTGTGATAACTTATGCACAGAACGTGCTGTGTGTCTTTGTGCAACTGAAATAAAGAGGAAAAGTGCTCGTTGGTTTTACTTTTAGCAACAGGAACAAAACTGTTTAATAATCTTTACTTAACGTATTGCTGTACTTTGAAATCATACCATATAAACATGAGGTGTACTCTTAAAAAAAACTGTAAATATGAGCTGAACAGAAGTTTGTACATTGAAGATGAATGCATCTTTTAGGAAGAATAAAGCACCTTGTTGTGACCTTATGACCTGACATCTAGCGCCACCATTTGACAAAGAATAAGAACTGACATAATTTATCCACTGTGAGTTGTCAACGTATTTCTTGATATGTAACTTAACATTTCCTATTTATGTATGCACACCTGGTTCATACATGACTGAATTTTGTACAGGTATTTAGGTTAATATTAAGTGTATGAATGCTGTTTTCTGTGACCAGCACTACTACAAACTTAGAGGCTCAGAGAAGTTTTTAAGCACATTATCCATATTGGTTGAATTGTCTGCATTTTCTGGTACAACATGCCTTTCCTAAGACAACTTGCTTATTTTGCACAAAATAATGTAATTTAAGTTTAAAATCCTTTATTGTACTCTTCAACGAACTAGTAGGGGGTGGGTGTTGTAATATTGAAAATGCAAAGTGTTATTTTATTCACAATTAGCTAAATATGTCCATATATGCATTCATAAAACCCCTACTTTGATTTGTGCATGAATATAATCAAATATTTCACTATATATGTGTTCTGTTTCCAAATAGCCAGTATAGAAACAAAGAAACATGGCTGGCCCAGAGTTTATTCCTATCCTTGATTTAAGAATGAGCAGGATGAACTGATTCCAAATGCCAATCACAGCCCAGGCCCAGGCCACATGTCTGCCTGTGATGCTGCCTGTCTGTGCCTCATTTTGCATCAGGAGATGCCACGGCAGAAAGCTATAGCCGGCTCATGTTTATGCATTCTAATGAGCGCTCCCTGGGAAAAATATGCAAATTCATTTTGTCATCAAGAAGAAAATAGAGGACAGGAGAGCAGCCGATACAGGAGGGGCTTAGGGGAGGAGGGCACATGCAAGAGGCGGGAATGGGTGTGTGAATTCACATGTCTGTAGTGTGTGTATGTTGGGTGGGGGTGTGTGAGGGTACAATGGTAGTGGAATCAGAGTGAGAGGACATATGTAGACTTCATCCCACCCCCCAACTATCAGACCTACCCCCTGAAAATACACATAAAAATAGGCATGCAAAAATAAATGAATACATAAATATTGTTTAATTTTTTTTTTCCCATTTGTTCCCAAACAAACTGATTTAGTATATGTGTTCTCAGCTATTCGGTATAATCTGTAATTTTTGTTTCTTATTTTGGTCATTAATTTAAAAATGTGACAGTTTGTTGAACAGTAGTGTCCTGGTTGAGCCTTTGATTTCCATTCAGCTCTAACAAAATCTGTTTGTCCCAATTTTAAGATGAATAAAAACAAGATTTCTACTAATGTTTTATTTTTACAATTTTCCTTTTTACTGATACAACAACAACAATAATAATAATAACAATTAATAACAATGTAGTCTAATCTACTTTAAAATTAATTAATTTTATATTCACTAAAAATATAAATTCATACAAAAACAGTATCTCAGTATTTTTTGACTTAGGAAATAGTGAGACTTATTACTTTTAACAAATTATGGTAATGATTCCCAGCGTGATTAAATGTGACTAAGCTGTTTTTAAGTAAGTGAAACCGGTTAGCTCTGGTTTGATGTGCTGTGCGTGCCGTAATAGGAACAATAAGCTGCCTACATTCTTCTGCAGTTCACTGAACCACCGAATGGGGCTAGGCGGAACTTTCGTTTTAGCAACGGGGAAGACTAAGGCCGACCCACACCCGGCTTCTACCGGAAGTTGAACGTTTCTGTTACGAGCTTGTCGAACGATACACATGGACCATACATGAGGATGCGACGGCTTATTCTCATCCGCATCTTATTATAAAGCGTAATTGAATGCTGTGTTCGGTATGTATATTTATTTTACTTAGTGTGAGATTTCAATAAGATCACGATTTTATTGTTCGACTTTAGGCTAACATTAAGTTAATGGTAGCGTCACGCTAATGATTAGCATTATGCTATCAGAGTTGCATGTTCTTGCTTTTATAAAATTTGTATTGTGTATAAAAAAGTATGTATCATATATATATATATATATATATATATATATATATATATATATATATACCTTTCTCGTAATGCCTAAATAATTTTTAAAAGCATTTTTCGTAAATTAAAATAACAATGTCAAGTACTTTCAGTGTGTGCTGTTATCACAGCTAAAAGTCATGGAGTCTGCAAAGCGGCAAAAAAAGTAGCTGGGATGGAGTTTCAACACGACTCTGCATACAAATAACGTTAAGGTTGTTTAGTTTTTGACTTTAATTAATCGATTAGAAGTGTTGTTGCAGCATAGTTTATGAAAAATGCTATAAAACAATATATTTCTTGAATATTCTTTGTCATGTAAGTGCAGTTGAATAAGGGCAAAAATGTCAATTTAATTAGGGAATTGGTGAAAGGTTTATTATCATTAAAGTTAACCTGAGTTTGGGAAATTGAACAAATTTTGCTGCGATGTAAACACAGTAGGTTTGTGTAATACAATATAACCAAAACAGCAGAGGACATTGTCTAGTGATTTTCTTCAAGTGTCTGTTAATTTTGTCATCTCTTAGGTAGGAGTGCACCGACTGCAGTTTTCTGGCCGATCACCGATTTCTAAAAAGTCTGACCTGCCGATTCCGATTTTGGCTGATACCGATTTTGTTTTGTAAGTGACAAAGTCAGATGTTGTAAGGTCACAATGCACCTTCAATTTTCTAATATTATTTTATTGAAAAGCATACCCTTGAACAATATCCTAGAAACAATCCAAACTTGTTTTAAATGGCCATGAGTTAGTGCTCTGAAATATAAATGAAGTTCAGACAATTGTTGTTAAAACTAAAAAAATCTGTAAAATTGATTTCTGGTGCAGGTATTTGCCGATTTCCCATAATTAAGGAAATCGGTGCCAATAAATCGTCAGGCCGATTTATCGGTGCACCCCTACTCTTTGGAATACAAAAACATGCTTCATTTACATAGAAATAAAACTCACCGTCACATCTGTGTAGTAGATAAATTTTGCTGATGCAAAGACTTGATAAGAAGAAGAAAACAGTTTTGAATAAAAATTTAGGTAAATAAAAAGACTACTTGCAGCATTGCTTCTAACAAAATCAAAAATATTTAGAAATTATTTATCAGAACCTTTAAATTATTAATTAAACCATGGTAGAAAATAACTTCCAAACCTGAACATTCATGTGTTTTTCCCTAATGCATCTTTTCACTAACACGTTTGTATTTGTTGTTTATATCTTGTACCCTTTCAGTCCTCCTGGAGGCGAGCTAGGCTGCGGTGACATGGTTTTGTTCTTTGAATGGCACCAGATAGCAGTGGAGCCGAAGAATAGCCACAGCTGTGTGCCCATGACTGGTGAAGACACTGGTTTGGAGCCTTTGGCCTTGCCACTGGCGGGGTATTTGGGAAAAGTCAGTGGTGCTCTTGTTTTCCTCTCATTGTGGTCACCTGCGCAAAGCTGAATTGTATTTGAAAAGATACTGTGACTGGACAGTACCAAACTAAATTTCTTAAAAAGGAGAAAAAGAAAAACGGAAATCTTTACATTGTAAAAGGCGAAAGTATTTTTGGTTTGCTTGACTGGTAAAAAGACTCAAAGAATGGAGTCTAAATTAAGTGTTAAAGTTGTACATTACAGTGTTTTCTTCAATATGTTTTATATTTTTTGTGCCTACTCAATTTATTGATCCATTCATGGGTGCCTTTAAAGAGAAATCTTACCTGATGAAGTCTTATTTTTACTTGTATGCTTGATGAAGGTTCAGGAAAGAGCTGAATCACTGGAGTATTGTCCTTGGTGTACTTCAAAGGGCTTCAGTTACGCTCTGCGCTCTTATCACATCAACCTCCAGGAGTCCATCACTCTTTGCACCAACCCACAGGTGAATCCTGGTGTTGCTGACAAATGTGCACACATTAATTCACATTTACGTTCCTAACTGCTATTAACTTGTTCATTCACTTCCATACAGTGCCTTTTCCCTCTGGTCACCAGGCCCTTGGAGGATGTTTTGTCTAGTTTGGTTCCCACTGTGGGCACTAAACGAAAAAATACCTTGGAATTAGAAAAAGACATGATTGGAACTCCATTTAAACGTCTACGATCAAGCAAAGTTGCCAGTCTCGAGTTGCAACAACAATTAGAGCGTGGCTCTGTGAATCTTCCTACAAATGACCTCCATCCAACACCAAAGGCTCAAAGTGAAAATGTTGATGGAAACCACAAGAAGTGTGTGGATACAGAAACAGAAAGCTGGGGTACACTTCAAGACAAAGACGTTGCTCCTTCTACAGGCTCAGCCCCTTTTGAACACTCGTCAGACGTTTTGTTAAACGGTAATGGAGTTGAGCCCTTTCGCTCTCTTCCCCTTGATGTCAATGGTACATCTGAGAATGGCTTTAAGGAAAAAGGTCTTCCTGTTTTGAATGGATCCAGCAGACAAGGTCCTAGTGAGGACTTTTCAACCAATATTGAATTTCTGATGACTCCGTGCGGTGAGCAGACGACATCCACAGAAGAGAAATCAGCGATTGCAGCATTCACTAGCCATGGAGACGCAGATGGAATCAGTTCTGAGGATTTGTCTTGTTTTTCACCGAGACCGTCGAAAGAGTTTGTACCCGTTCCAAAACAGCTGCTTTGGAAGAACAGTGACAACCTGTGTTGGCTGGATTCACTGCTTGCTGCTTTGGTGAACTGTAAAACTTTAAGAAGATGTAAACCTAAAGATGAGCCTCCTCACTCGCCTGTGTGGCAGTTGATAAAAGGATATGAAGACATTTGTGCTGCCGTCCAGGTGCACCAACAAACTGGAGGAGGTAAGTTTAAACTGATGCAGTCTGTGAGGGTGATCAGAATTTCAGTTTGTTTCAGGTTATTTTATCTGGTGTTTTTGTATTTATGATCAGAAAACTCTATTCCTTTTTGTTTTTTGTATCTGTGGTAAAAGCTCATTTTCAACCCTTGTTTAAAAGAGTAAACCACCCACGTGTCATTACTGTACAGAATAGCCAAACATTATATAGAAGTGTGTACAGAACTTTTTTTGTTGTTTAAATGAGTTCTTTTTGACTAGATGGTGTTGTAAGTGTGCCAAGTCATGTGCTGCAAAAAGCTGATGTTGATCTGCAGAGTCTCAGGATGTCAGTCTTCAATCTGCTGCAGCCCAAACTGCACTGCATTCTGGGTAAGATCATATTCACCAACCTATAATGAACCTGCATGTTTTTAGTTCTCTCAGAAGCAGCAGAACTCATTTTCGAGGGTTAAAGTTCTGTCGCTACAACGGATTTTCATCACTTTGAATATGGCCAGGACAGATTTCAGTCATTTGTAAAGATGAGAATGTGGGGCAGAAAAACTGTTTTTTGTTGTGGTGGTTTTAAATCCATCTAATTATGATACAGGGATTAAACTGACATGCAGCAAGGTGGCACAACTGATAGAGCTGCTGCCTCTCGGTGAGAAGGTTGCCAGTTCAAATCCCAGTCCGGGGGGGCCTTTCTGGGTGGAGTTTGCATGTTCTCTCCGTGCATACGTGGGTTTTCTCCAGTTTCCTCCTACAGACCAAAAACATGCATGTTAGGCTGATTGGTGACTCTAAATTGTTCCTAGGTGTGTGAGAGAGATAATGGTTGGTTGTTTCTGTGTCCCTGTGATGGACTGGAGACCTGTCCAGGTAGGTGTACCCCGCCCTTGCACTGTGATTGCTGGATATGGGCACCGGCGACCCCCGTGACCCAAAATGGAAGAAGCAGGTAAAAGATAATGGATGGATTAAATTGACACTGCGTTCAACAAGTCAAGTTAACCAGAGCCATAGTTTTAATGAATCGGAGCTGAGCAGGGTGGGTTTCTGATACAGTGAGCCCTGGTTTGAGCAGCACTCCCAACTTGGTGAGAGACCGCAGGTGAAAGTACCAGTCATCCTACAGTCGTGTGCTGAGCGAGCAGAGGCTCAGCTGTGAGCCCCTCTCTGTCCCAAAGCTCTCACAGTCGATCAGGATCACAGAGATCCCGCTGCACTCCAATCAAAGACACACAGCACAAACTAACCACTCATGTACGCAGCCGCCACTGATCCCGCTCTGGCTGACAGACCTCCCTCACCCTGCCTCCGACCTGCTAGGGACTTTGTATTTAATGTTGATGTGTTTGGAGCGTCGTCATTGTCTTATGTCCAACTTTCACGCATGACCAAATTCCTGGTTCTCGAAAGAGAGCACAGCCTGCTTCAGACTCTCTTTGAGACTCTGTGGTTCTGGTGCTTAAGTTTTTAGAATTAATTACACTAAAAGACATTTGTTTGGGTAGAGCTGCTGCCTCTCAGCAAGCAGGTCCCTGGTTCAAACCCCGGTCCAGGGGCCTTTCTGGGTGGAGTTTGCATGTTCTCTCCGTGCATGCGTGGGTTTTCTCCGGGTACTCCGGTTTCCTCCCACAGTCCAAAAACATGCATGTTAGGCTGATTGGTAACTCAATAAGGTTTTGGTTGTTTGGATTTGCTAAGCTAGCTCATGTTTGGAAGCAAATAGAAGTAACTGAATTGTGATCAATGTAATTCAATAAATGGTCAGATATGAAAAATAAATGGTAATAAATGACTACATGAGCTGAAATCCTGTAAATATAATTCCTTTAAATGAAATGGTCAGTTTAAGGGAAAAGTCTGGCAATAAAGAAACTGTAATTTTTACTTTGTACTGTGCAAAGTAGGGGTGCACTGATTGCTATTTCTGGCTGATCACTGATCTCTAAAAAGTCTGACCTGCCGATTCAAGTTTTGACCGATACGGATTTTGTTTTTTTAAGCGACACTGTCGGGTGTTATAAGGTCACAATGCACCTTCAATTTTCCAATATTATTGTATTGAAAAACAGACCCTTGAACAATGTCCTAGAAACAATACAAACTTGTTTTAACTGGCCATGAGGTAGTGCTCTGAAATATAAATGAAGTTCAGACAATTGTTGTTAAAACTACAAAAAATCAGTAAAATCAATTTCTCATGTGAGTATCGGCTGAACTCCCAAAATGAAGGAACTTGGGGCTGATTTATCGGTGCACCCCTTGAGATAAGGACTACTTGTGCTAGAATTTTTCTTTAAATATATCTGACAACTCCCAACTGAAAATACTGAAATGATATAAACGTAAACTATAGAAAAGTTGTTCAGAATCACCCTCCTCCTTCAAATTGGTTATTAGGATTAAATTATGCAGGTTAAAGTCTTACAACCTGAACACTTCAGTAGAGAACATTATACTGTATTTTGAATGTCATGTGCTCAGTGTACTCTTTTTTTTTTTCTTTTTTTTTTTTACATGAAAATGGGACACATCTGGTATGCAGAAATAAGCTGAACTACACCTAATCTGTAAAAAAAAAAAATTGTCAAAAGATTTTTATTTGCTTTAATCCCTGCAGTTTAGTCTGAAGTCTTTGAGATGTAGCTTTGCAGAGATAAAGCGGACGTTTCTCATTAATTAACTTTTAACAGAATCTTTAGCAGCACATTGGTAAAGACTCTTCCTTTGAAAAGACGTTGTTCTGTGAGTGAATCAAAGCATCTGTAAGACTATGGCTATGTTCACACTGCAGCCCCCCCCCCCCATCTAACCAGACCCTCTTCTCTTTCATACGGAGCATCCAGAAAGTACACACAGCGCTTCACTTTGTTCACGTGTTGTTATGGTACAGCCTTATTCCAAATTGTGTTAAATTAATTTCTTTACTTAAAATTCTTCAAACAATATGTCATTACGACAATGGGAAATTTATTTGTTTTGTTGTTGTTTTTTTGTTTGTTTTGTTTTTTTGGTTTTGGCTACTTTATAAAATAAAAAAAAAAGCTAATAAATCACATTTACGTAGAGTAAGTATTCACAGCCTTTGCCCTGAAGCTCCAAATTGAGCTCGGATGCATCCTGTTTCCACCAGTCATCCTTTAGATGTTCCAACAACTTAAATGGAGTCCACCTGTGGTAAACTCAGTTGACTGGACTTGATTTTGAAAGGCGCACACCTGTCTATACAAGGTCCCACAGTTGACAAGGCATGTCAGAGTGCAAACACCAAGCATAAAGTCAAAGGAATTGTCTGTAGACCTCTGAGACAGGATTGTGTTGAGGCACAAATCTGGGGAAGGATACAAAAATGTCTGCAGCTTTGAAGGTCCCAGTGATGGCCTCCATCATTTGTAAATGGAAGAAGTTTGAAACACCAGGACTTTCTAGAGCTGGGCAGTCATCTAAACTGAGCAACTGGGGGAGAAGGGCCTTAGTCAGGGAGGTGACCAAGAACTCTATGGTCACCCTGTCATAGCTCCAGCGTTCCTCTGTGGAGAGAGGAGAGCCTTCCAGAAGGACAACCATCTCTGCAGCAATCCATCAATCAGGTCTGTATGATAGAGTGGCCAGATGAAAGCCACTCCTTAATAAAAGGCACATGGCAGCCTGTCTGGAGGTTGACAAAGGACTCCGATCATAAGAAACAAAATTCTCTGGTCTGATGAGACAAAGGTTCAACTGTTAGGTGTGAATAACAAGCGTCATGTTTGGAGGAAACCAGACACTGCTCTTCACCAGACCAACACCATCCCTACAGTGAAGCATGGTGGTGGCAGCATCATGCTATGGCGATGTTTTTCAGCAGCAGGAACTGGCAGACTAGTCAGGATAGAGGGAAAGATGACTGCAGCAATGTACAGAGACATCCTGGATGAAGACCTGCTCCAGAGCGCTCTTGACCTAAGACTGGGATGATGGTTCATTTTTCAGCAGGACAACGACTCAAAGCATATAACCAAGATCTCAGAGGAGGGGTTCAGGACCACTGTGAAGGTCTGGAGTGGCCAAGCCAGAGTCCAGACTCGAATCTTATTGAACATCTCTGGAGATATTTGAAAATGGCTGCACAGACGTCTTCCATCCAACCTAATGGAGCTTGAGAAGTATTTTAAAGAAGAATGAGACAAACTGCCTAAAGATGTGTGCTAAGCTTGTGGCATCATATTTAAAAAGACTTGAAGCTGTAACTGCTGCGTGGAGCAACAAAGTATTAATCAAAGGCTGTGAATACTGATGTAAATGTAAATTCTTAATTTTCTATTTGTAATAAAGTTGCAACAATCTAAAAAATGTATTTTTTCACATTGTCATAACGTGGTATTGTGTGTAGGATTTTGAGGAAAGGTGTGTGTATACGACTTAAAAAAAAAAATCATCAGTATGAACCTGTTTTGTCAATGTGTTTTTCATTTACCAAAATATAGTAATAATTGCTTAACTTGAAACAAAGAGAAAGTTTAGCAGCTTTTAGAATAACTTTTACATTTACAAAAATATAAAATACGATTCTTGCTTAAAATAAACTAAATTATGGGCTGCAGTGAGCTGGTTTTGCAACTGTCTTCATTTTCCTACATGGTAATTGATTTATAGAAATTATGTTTTATTTAAAATAAACAACCAAAATTTATAATGTCTCAATATTGGTTTGTTCATCGCACTAGAAGTATTAATTTCTTAAAAAGAAAATGATCTCTTCTTTCAATACTATGACTTTTTTTGAATCTTGACAAATTATTACTTTATTTGCACCAGAATACTATTTTGCTCCAATCAAAATGCGATCACCCCAAATAATCAGAGTTAAATACTTGTTTCTTTTTTAAATTCAAGTCTCCATGTATTCTGTCTGTCTGATGTTTAGTCCCATACCATACCACCTTTTTATTTATGTATTATATTATATTTACCACTTATTTCTAGAGCAGCAACAAGGCCAAAAGTGCTGTACAGCAGAAACAAACAAGCAAAACACACAGCCTAAAAAATAAAATAAAAATACATAGATCCAAATGGAAGAAGTTAATAACTACTGTAAATGACTAACTTTGTAGAATACAGACAGGTTAAGAAAAAAAATTACACTATGTCAAAAGCCAGGGAATAAAACTGGACATACAGCATTGTATTGATTTTAATACTAATGGTATGAGTAAGACATCTCACACACAAAAAAAGTGTTCCTTAAATAAATTCCCAGTTTGGCAGCCCTAAGTGAGAGGAAACCATCCACCACCCAATGTTGCTGTCAGAGCTCTGAGATCTTTCTGGCCTTTAAATATTCATAAAACGCAGTCCTAAGCTTTTTCCAACACTTGTCAGTCCTGTTGTAACAAGTTCCATCTTTGAAAATGCAAACATGTATTTGTACATACTCTGAAGACTCCCAGTTTTATTTAGCTCTCCATAACACACACGTCATCTCTCTTTCATGCCACGAAACTACGGCTCCACGCTAAGTCGTCGTGTTATTGTTGGAGGCTGGAGTTCAATTTAATCTTTTAAAGCATCCATTATCACCTGATGATACCAGAAAGTGACGTGTCTCGACTTGCTTCCTCTGCTTGTTGCAGCCAAGTCTTTCTTGAATGGAGCTGGAAAAATAATTAAACATGGAGAACAATACTGAAGACTACAAGAGGCGTGTCCTTTTCTGTAAATGTGAAGAATTACGATATCTAAGCCATAACCTCATTAACAAAAAATGATTTAATTGTAAATGTACCTGCTGCCGCCTCCATGTGAAGATGCTTTAACTTCACTGTTTTTTCCCCTCAGGTCAAAGGGAAACTCCAGTGTTTGCCATGCCTCTGCTTCTCACAATGGACTCCTGGGTGGAGCATCTTTTCCAGTCCACCTTTCACTGGGAGTTCAAGTGCAGCGAATGTGAAGTTGTCACAAAAGAAAGGTGAGGGATTTTTATTATTTATAACTTTTTTTTTAATCAGCCAGATTTTAAGAGTGAGTAAAGAGCTCTGACTAAATTGTGTCAGTAATAGTTATTTATTTAATTTATTTATTATTAAGTAAACTGCTGATGACGATAACATAACACCTGAATTTGTGTGTTGGAAAAAGTAAAATTAATATTTTCACTAGGCCGGTCACAATAAACAATAAATCATTTAATCGCATAAGTGAAAATTATCGACCTCATTTTCATTTATCAGCTTTATCGTTTTTCCATGTCTCTCTTTCTTCTACTAAGCTGAGAAGCTAAGCTAACAGGCCAACTTCGGATCATTGGTCTCAAGAGGCAGTA